GATCAAGAGTCCTGCGCCGCACTGCCTGAGCCAGCCAGGCGCCCTGAAAGAGAGGTGTCAGGTGGGAGGGTAACAGGGTCAAAGGTGTGTTTGAAGAGTAGTGTGGAGGAGGGATGGGAGGGGTGAAGAAGCCCCAAGGAGGGGTTGGGGGTGGACCTTCCGAGCTCAGCAAACTCTTAAGCAGCAGAGCCTGGATGTGAACTGGGGTCTTCTCTTTCCCAACCGGGGCTCCCCCTGCAAACCAGACCAACTGGCCAGGCGACAAAGTGAACAGGAAGGTCAGGAAGGTATTTGGCCTTGTTTCCCTGGGGCCACCGCCTGACCTTTTGACGCCTTGGGAACAAGGCAAGGGCACCTGCTTGTTTTTGGAGAGATGCTGCTGCGAGGCCCACGCAGACAGCCGGCAGGGCCGGGGTGCAGTGGCTGTCGGGGGGCCACTGGTTCTTGGATCCGGTTCACTGACAGCTGGGTAGGAGGGGCCGCTGGCAGCACCTTACCACAGGGCCGCCCTCGGGGCACACACGGGTGTGGGTGGGCCGGGCTCACACAGGGTGTGGGTGCTGCAGAGAGAAGACACCTGCTCTCTCAGGCCGAAGCACAAAAATCATGAGGGGGTGGGTGTCTTGAGGTGGGAGTTCTGTAAAAAGATTCGGTTGCGTTGAAGATGAAGACCTGTAGGGACAAGGTGAGAAGTGGAAATAATTAGCGATAGAAAAAACGAGCATAAAAAGATGCGGTGGATAAATGTGTGCAAAGGGATAGTCCTGCTTAGCTGCGGTAGTTAGAGTAGGAGGTTACCAGGAGTCCGTGTAAATAGCCGGCAAGTTTCTATCGCACACCTGCCATGTAAGTGCCCCCAGCGCCGTTATGCCGCGTTGCCAACCTGGCTGGAAGAAAATCGCTGAATTACTAGAGATCTGGTCGCAGGCCCTGCTGGGGGTGCAGAGAGCCAGAGGTGTGGTCCAGAGGTGCCCCGCTTTGGTTTTGGTTCCGGGGCCTGCAAGATGTCAGGGAAGAGAACACATCCAAGGAGAATAGCGGTTTTGTGACGCTTGGAGTATTTGTAGCAAGTACCAATGACTCCTCAAATCATGTAGTGGAGTGTAGGAAGTCCATTTCTTCATTTTCTTCAAATTAAACATTTACGAAATGTAATTAATTGATTAAACTTTAATTAAAATGACGATTGAAGCTGGCCCAGAACCCCTCCGCCGTCTCCATCTGTTCTAAGCTCTCGCTGGTGGGTTCCTCCCACTCCTGATGCCGGCTCGGTGGGAGGCCGAGCGGCAACCCAGGAGGCCTAGCTGGTGCCCAGACAAGAGGCCAAGCTTTTGATCTGAGCTTTCTGAGCTTTCTGCCCGCACCCTCCGGGGCTGCCCGGGCTCTAGAGGCTTTGCATGCGCACGGAGGTGTGCAGGGAGCTTGCTGATGGGGAGCCCTGACACTGGGTCAGTCTCCAGAAAGTACCATGGCACACCAAGATTCTCTGGGCTTTGATGCTGTCACCAGATGGACTGAGCCTCCAGCCCTCCCTCAGCCCACGGGCTTCACCTGCTTCCTCTTCCTCTCAGCTGCCTCCCATTTACTCCCCTCCCCTCTCCTCTCTCAGCCTCCCCTCTTCAGTGAGATCAAGCATTCCAGTGGCTTCCATTTTCTGCTTGAAGGATGGATCAGAGAGAAGGATCAAAGGCCTCGCTAACTTCTTGAGATTAGAGAGAGGAGCGGGAAAATGTTAAGAACTCCATGCAAATTCATATCTCCGTGAATCGTCCTGCTACCGATTATTATGGGATGGCTAGGCCAGGCGGAGAGGTAGCGGGACACAGGGAGTAAATGCTTGGAAGGTCTGCTCTGTTTCCTGCTATCCACGTGGCCTACTCTCGTGGTTGCCTCATAAATAAAAGGAAGATGCACCCACCCCGCTGTGTGGCCTTGAATCAGACCGGCCGATACTTACACAGCACTGGGCGCAATGGAGAGATCCCGGAGCACACATTTGTGAGCTGCATGCTAGTGCCTAGCTTCACCGTCGCAGATGCGGACCCTCCCGCAGAGTCCGCTTTCCTACACCAACAGTGTCTCCCTCCCACAGCCAGTGAGTCAGGAACAAAGGGAGAAGGTGTGGGCTTGAACCTTTGCCTGTCCAGGTGGCTGAGCCTCCCAGGAAAGGGGAATATTCTAGCTGTGATGACGTTCGCCATAGCAGGATTTCAGGAATCTCACAGGAAGGGCCGTGGGCTGTGCTCTTGGCAGATGGAGCTCGTCACCATCAGAGGTGTGCATTTCACCCGTGCAAAGGGCGCTGGAGCAGGAGCCTTCCCCAACCCTCCAGGGGCTCCACCTTCAACTCATTGTGCCATGTCCTCAGAGACGTCCTCTTTGCCTCCCCATCTCCATGAGCTCCTCCTCCCCGCCATTCTTTCTTAGATTTTCTTGCTCCTTATTATTAGCATTTCTTCAGTTTTTAGTTATGGACACTTGGTGTGTTTGTTTCCTGACCTCTCTCCCAGGAGGTTATAGGTGGCTCTAGAGGGCAGGAATGAAGTGCGTTTTATTGACCAACTACAATCACGTAATTTCAAGTTTTTTTTAAAATTTTTATTTATTCATGATAGAGAGAGAGAGAGAGAGAGAGAGAGAGAGAGGCAGAGACACAGGCAGAGGGAGAAGCAGGCTCCATGCACCGGGAGCCCGACGTGGGATTCGATCCCGGGTCTCCAGGATCGCGCCCCGGGCCAAAGGCAGGCGCCAAACCACTGCGCCACCCAGGGATCCCCAATTTCAAGTTTTTAATACGTTAAATGAGGATAGTTAAGACTGCTTTTGCATACCTCACTGAGCTGTGAAATTGCCAAAGATAATAACGTGAAGCTTCCTAGTCAATCATAAGACACGATGCACGTATTAACTATGCGCGGCGCCATGTGTGTTTGGATGCACATCACAAGCCGAACACTTGTGCAGGGGGTTCCCAGGCAGATGAGCGTTTTGTTATTTGAGATAATAAAGGAAAGTGCTTGGAATAAAGGATACACCCCGTGTTGCTGCTCATGGCCAGAAGTCGAAGAGGGCAGCCCCGACTTCTAAAAATATCTTATTCCCTTAGTCCATCTGTGGTAGGCTTGACATTGTTCACCAGGAGCGTGCCCATGGCTGGAGATGTGTAAACACGGGTGACAGTGGGTAACCCAGGCCCCGCAGTTCTGTACACTTGGGGGGGGGGGGGCTCACAGGTTGGTTCTCAACCAAGATGTTCCTTTCCTCCTGAGAGGCAAGGACAGGGAGTATGACACAGTCCTGTGCAGAGAGATCACAGAGGGAGGGAAGACATTTCCAGAAAAACGGTGGCTGCTCCCAGCATTTCACAGGGAGCCAGTGGGAGGAGGCTGGGCCTCCTTAGAGATCCCTGGGGCATCACACTTGAACCGGGGGCGCTGGAGCAGGAGGCCTGGAGTGGACCAGTACGCTAGGCCTGGCTGGGGTTCCTCTGCTTTGGCCCGACCGGCCAGGAGGTGAGAAACAGTCCATTCCGGTGGCCAGTGGGCCCGGGGTCACCGAAGATGGAAGAGTGCTAAACCAGAACGATTAAAGAAAGAGATTGGATTGGATCCAAACATACATTTTCCCCTCCCCGGGTGGTTCTGAGGTTTTGTCCTGTTTCTTAGGAAGGAGGGAGAAGGAATTGACGGTCCCAGCCGCGCCGGGTATTCCTTGCTATGTGATGTGCTGTGATCGCAATTACGGCTTAATCGACGACTTAGTGCTCTGTGCGGTTGGCACCTCGAGGAGCCCCTGGCCCCCTCGCAGGACCCCGGGCTCCTCGTCGTTGGCAGAGCCCGGATTTTCCCCAGACCCCGGGCACCGGGCTTCACCACCTGCGTCTTTACAGAGCTGCGACCGCTCCCAGGAGCAAAGGTGAGCAGAGCGCCCGGGAGCCGCCAGGTAACGGAAAAGATAGGAGGGTGCAGGCTGCAAGGGAAGAGAAGGCGGCCCGGGGGGCGCAGGGGGCGCAGGGGGCGCAGGGGGCGCAGCAGAGGCGGGGCCCGCGGAACCCCGACCCGCCCGCGGCAGGTGCCGGTGGAGACGTCAGCGCGGCCGAGGCTGAGAGGGCGGGCAGGGCGGTCCCGCACACAGGGGAACGCGGGGGGCGCTGGAGGGGTGCCAGGGGCGGCACCGCCCTCAAACACATTGACTCTCTCCCCCAATCTCGACTCGTTCGGGGGTTGCCACGAGCAGGACTTCTCCAAGCCCCAAAGACTGGACTTAACTCGGCTTCCTCGGTCGCGGTCGCGGGGCTGCAGCGTCTGCACCCAGGCCCCAGGCCCCAGGCCCCAGGCCCCCGCCCCGGCCACCTCCGTCCGTTCCCGTCAGGGGCAGCTGCCCTGAGAGCCGCCCTGGGGTAAGTCAGGGCACCCTGGGGTGGCTGAGGGCGCGTCCCGGCGGCGCGCGGGGCTGTCCTGGGAGGGCCCGAGCGGCCTCCCCCGGCTGTGCTCAGGGCCCCGGGGGGCGGGGGGCAGGGGGCAGCGGGCAGGGGGCAGGGGGGAGGGCCTGCCCGGAGCGAGCGGGAGGCCGCGGGGGAGGGGGTGCTTCCCCGCCGCCACCTCCCGTCGGAATCCGGGGCTGCTGCAAGCGCCCTCGGCCTTCCCGCCCCGCCCGCCCGCCCGCTCTCCTCGGACGCGGGCACGCCCCTGCCCCGGCCCCGCCCCGCCCCGGCCCGGCCCTGCCCTTACCCCGCCCCTGCCCCACCCCTACCCTGCCCTGCCTCTACCCCTGCCCCCGCCCCGGCCCCGCCCCTACCTCTGCCCCACCCCTGCCCTCCTCTACCCCTGCTCCTGCCCCGCCCCTGCTCCTGCCCCGCCCCTGCTCCTGCCCCGCCCCTGCCCTGCCTCTACCCCTGCCCCGGTCCCGGCCCGCTCCTGCCCTGCCCCCGCCCCCGCCCCCGCCCCGCCCCTGCCCCTGCCCCTGCCGGTGCGGAGGCGGCGTGCGGCGTCTCGGCGGGAGAGAGCAGGCGGGAGGCGGGTCCCGGGGGCCGGGGCGCGGGCAGCATGCGCGGGCGCCTCCTCTGCGCTCTGCTGGGCGCCGCGCTGGCACAGGTGAGCTCCCCCTGCGCGCAGGGGGCCCCGCGGGCTCGGTCGGAGGCAGGGGGCGGCGGGGGCAGGGGGCAGGGGGGACGGGGGCGGGCCGAGGGCTCGGAGGAAGCGGCGCCCGCGGAACCCGAGCCACGTTGTTCTGCAGGTAACGGGTTTGTAGCGCAGTAGCCTCGGGGAGGAGGCGGCAACCACCCCCCCCTTCCAGGTAAAGGCGCTACGTCCTGCTCCCAGGGTGTTGGCGCGGCTCGCGGACTTGAGCACCCCGTCCTGGGGGGGCCCGACTCCCCACCCCCCACCCCCAACCCCTGCCCGGGCCTCTGCCTTAGGCCCCAGCCTGGGCTCCCGCTTTCCTCGGCCCTGGGCCGAATGTGCAAAGAGCGACCGGGAAAAAACGATCCTGGCAATTTTCTCCACTTAAGCCTCTCCTTGCTGGAGAGGAGCACTTCGGATAAACATTTCTATTTATTTTTTTAAAAGATTTTATTTATTTATTCATGAGAGACACACAGAGAAGGCAGAGACACAGGCAGAGGGAGAAGCAGGCCCCACGCAGGGAATCCCATGGGGGACTCGATCCCAGGACCCCGGGATTAGACCCTGAGTCGGAGGCAACGCTCAACTGCTGAGTCACCCAGGCGCCCCAACATTTACACTTTTAAAACATTCTATTACTGTGTCTTTTCCCAGCTTAGGTGTTTCTCACTTTTCCTGAAAGGGAATCCGTCCATGAAGACTTTGAAATAAATAGTTCAAGCCACAGACCAAAGGGAAGTTTAATTTAACTGGAGCAATTCATGGCCTTCGTATTTTTTTAAATAAGAAGATGAAAACAGGATGACTTATTTATGGATTTATTTACACAGTGGAGGTTACTGCCTGCCCGGAGGATGGAGCTTTTGAAAGCTTCTGGTGATCGGAAAAACACGGAAGTGTCTTTGAGTGAATAGTCAGTCGATTAGGGCAGTAAATTGTATTTTAGGAGACAAGAGATGGAAAGTTGTTATAGTTTATAGGGTGAGAGCGGAGATGACAAAATAATCCTAATAAGAATGCCGGTGGTACAGTTTACTTTCACTGAGAGCTGGAGGGGCACATTTCCCCAGTAGAAGTGAGATGGGGATGCCTCTCTCCCACTCTGCCCATCTTGAGAAAAGTCCTGCCATTGTTGTGAATGGAGAGCCTACAATGTATTCCTAAGCAGCAAATATTCCAGTATAGACAGATGTGTCCAAAATTAAAAGAAAAAAACCATAAAAAGGCATTAAAATACAGCGACAAGGAAGTATTATTTTGCTTGCCTTTGCCAGAATGAATTTTTGAGGAATAATACCTACCATTCATTGAGCATCTGCTATGTACCGAGCTAGGTACTTCAGTAATTATCTTAATCCTCAAAATAACCTTACAAGGTGGATATTAATAATTCCATTTTGCAGAGGAGGATTGAGGCTCAAAGGTTAAATAAATGATAGAAAGTCATTTAAGATCTCAGAGCTAGAATAAATAAATAAAATCGTTAAAAAAATCCACCAAAGCTCAGCTCTGGTGTCAACTTTCTGTTTACACCAAAAGAGCCTCTTTTGGTGTACAGAGGTCTGTCTCATTTCTTTTCTGTCGTACCAAAAGAATCTGCTAACTCTTTTGTTGCTCTGAGATTTTGATTTTTGAAAACGATCAAAATGTCTGAAGAAAAAGGAAATCCATCGACCTATCTATCTTTATATTCTCCCACTATTGGCCATTTCAGGGACTCTTCATTACTTTGTATTTCTGAATTACTATCTATTGTAATTTTTCTTTAGACGGAAGAGCTTCCTTTAATATTTCTTGTGACACAGATGTGCTAGCAACAGTTTTTCTCAGTTTTTGTTTAATTGGAAATTAAATTTCACTTTCACTTTTGAAAGATAGTTTCACTGGAGATAGAATTCTAGGTTGACAGGTTTTTTTTTCCCCCTTTCAGTACTGTGTCTTGTTTTCTTCCTCCTCCTTTTTTTTTTTTTAAGACTTCATTGTTTTTTGAATTTTATTTATCACAAGAGACCCAGAGAGAGAGGCAGAGACATAGGCAGAGGGAGAAGCAGGCTCCCTGCCAGGAGCCCAATGTGGGACTTGATGCCAGGATCCCGGCATCACGACCTGAGCCAATGACAGACACTCAACCACTGAGCCACCCAGGTGCCCCAAGACTTATTTTTTTTTTTAGAGTAGCTTTAAGATAACAGCAAATTTGAGGGGGTGCCTGGGTGGTGCAGTTGATTAAGCACCCACTTCATGGTTTCCGCTTAGGTCATGATCTCAGGGTCATGAGATGGAGCCCTGCATCAGGCTCGGTGCTCAGCATGGAATCTGCTTGAGATTCTTGCCCCCTCTCCCTCTATCCCTCCCACTTGTGCTCTCTCTGTCTCTCAAATAAATACATACATCTTAAAAAAGAGATCACAGCAAATTTGAGAGGAAGGTACAGAGATTTCCTGTGTGCTACCTACTGGTACACATGCATAGCTTCCCCCATTATTAACATCCTCCACCAGAAATGATGGACCTACATTGATACATTATTACCTAGAGTCCAGAGTTTACCTTGGGGTTCACTTCTGGTGAGGTACATCCTGTGAGTTTGGACAAATGTATAATGACATGTATCCACCATTATAGTATCATAGAGGATTTCTGATGCCCTAAAAATCCTCTGTGCTCCAGCCATTTACCTCTTCCCTCAACCCCTGGCAGGTACTGATCTTGTTACTGTCTCCACAGCTTTGCCCTTTTCCAGAATGTCATGTAGTTGGAATCATACAGTATTTAGACTTTTCAGATTGGCTTCTTTCACTCATTTCTTTTTAGCACTGCATAATATTTCATGGCCTGGCTATGTCCAAGGCCCCCACTGAAGAACATCTTAATCTCTTTGGAAGTCAGGTCTCATTATTTTTGTTATTCTCTTGTATACAATGCTTCTCTTTTCTCACTCTGCTTTCAAGATTTTTTTTCTTTATCTTTAGTTTTCAACAAGTTGCCTTGTGGCCTCAGAGATTATACAGAAATGCTTCAAGACTGGAAAGAGAAACAAGTGTCCGCAGGTGGGCAGTTTTGAGAATAGGCATTTCCTTAAGAGGCAGCGATATGAGGAAAGCATGGAGGAGGAAACTGAGCTGGTGGGCCTAGTAAGCAGTAAGACACAGGAAGAGAGTGCATTGAGAGTGAAGGCTGGAGAAGAAGGCATAAAACCAGCACAGGCTTTCAACAACATGCTTATAATTTTGATCTTCACAGTATACCCAGTAGGGGACTATTCATGGGCTTTCAAGAGAGTAGTAGTAGAATCAGATATGTTTTTTAAAGGGATCCCTCCATCAGCAATGTGGTAGATTCATTTGGGAAGTCATTCTTGAGGAAGGAAGACCAGTTGGGAACATACTGCAGTCCAACTCAGCAGCAGTGCAAACAGTGAGATGGTGACTAGTTCTAGAAATAGGAGGACAGTATTAGTCACTGAATGGCTATGGGAGGTGAGGGAGAGGAAGATGACCTAGGTGACTCCTGGCTTCCTAACTCCAAACTTTGAAGAAGCTGTCCAAAAGGGCAGAGGTGGGTGAGGGATGATAAGTTTAGGGAATGAGCTTTTTTTTCCATGGGACATTATAGTGGCGATGTCTAGTCGGTAGTCAGCTATACGGCTCTAGAGCTCGGTGGAGAGATCCTGGATGGAAATTTAGTTTTGAAGCTTGTGCAGGGTGGAAATCGAAGGCAAAGGGTAGACGAGATTGCTAACAGACCGTGTGCAGAGTGTGAAATGCAATCCTTTAAGGTTATGAAACATCGATTAGTCTAAATGTAAGTCATACTCAGGGGGTAACGGGAGTCTGCAAAAGAGATTGAGAAAGTATGTTGAGAGGTTAAGGGTGGAATTGGGAAGGTCTTGTGTCATGAAAGCCAAGGGGGAGGAGAAGATTAAGAAAGAGTCAAATACCCCAGAGACGTGGACAAGGGGATGACATAGAGGCGCCATGAATAGGAGCCTGATTGAGTGCCACTGAACCTGGCAGGGAGGCCTTGGGAAAAACTGAGAAGTAGACACTATTTCTACTCCCTTCTCCGCTATATTGTACTTCTGTCCCCCTCCTCCTTCTCCAGAATCCCAGCACTGTTTCCTCCAACTCCATCCTCACATTGTATCTTCAACCTGAATTGTAGCTGAAAGTGTTTCTCTGGGGGATACATTTTGCCAGTGATGAGACAAAAGGCCGGCGTGGAATGGTGGAATTTCAAACTAATGCTTTTAAAGGCAGGATTTTTGAGTTGGAAAGAGGCTTAGATCTCTGGATCAGTGCAAGTGCTTCAGTCTATTAAATAAAAATTGAAGGTTGATTATCCAAGTTACTTGCTAGGCGCTGTGCTAGGAGCCAAGAGTACACCCACAAATGAACCAGGGGCCCCTACGGCTGGATAGCGGTAAGCACGTGGAGAAGGCAGGCACTTACATAGGAAATTTCAGTACAAGGTCATGAAAAAGGGAGGCAGGGGAGTTATAAGACATTTTCTGGAAAAGTTGATACCTGACCAGCCAGGTGAAGGAGCGGGAGTCGGGGAAGTATGTTCGAGGCACAAGGAACAGCATTGGATATGCAGGGAACTGCAGACACTTGAACTTGCTAGAATGTAAGGAATGCAAGAGATGAAGAGGGCCCCCGAATGCTGTGCTTTGGAGTTTGGGCTTATTCTTATAAGTCAGTGACTTTCAGGTGTGAGGGATGAAGGGGAGGAGCAGGTGAGGTTGGCTTTCTGCTTCCTGGGGAACAGGAACTCAGTGGTTGGTGCCCCCATTCACTAAAATGGGAACCACTAGCTGAGGAGCAGTCTGTTGTGGGGAGGGAGGAAATGAGATGCTCACAGGGCATCAAAGTGGGTAGACCCAGTGGGAATTCGTGAGTTGCAAGCTTAGGGAGAGAGGTGCAGGCTGGAGAGGAGAGACAGATGCAGAGAGCAGGTGGTTTGTCCAGGATCAAAGCTGGTGTGTGCCAGGACTTGGGCTAGGGAAGGAAGGCAGCAAGGGTTGAGAGCTCAGGCTCTGAAGTCTGCTGGTCTTGTTCAAATCCTTGTCCTAGCACTTACTGAATATGATCTAGTTTGTATATAATCTGAGTTTCAGGGGCCTCATTTATAAAATGGGGTGTGTGGTTTCCAATTGCCACAAACTCAGTGGCTAAAACAACACAAGTGTATTATCTTTCAGTTCCGGACATCTGTAGTCTGCAAATGGGTCTCCTAGGGCTCAAATCAAGTGTTAGCAGGCCTCTGTTCTTTCGGGAGGGTCTAGGGAGGGCCTAGGGGAGAGTCCTTTTGTTGCCTTTTGCAGCTTTTAAAGGCACCTGCACTCCTAGCACTTTTGCCTCTGCTTCTGTCATCTCAGCTTCTCTGACATTCCTGCCTCTCCTCCCCCCTCCTTTTTTGAGAGAATGAGAGAATGTGTGCAAGTGGGGTAGAGTGACCCAAGTGGAAATCAAGAGTCAGATGCTTGCAAAATGCTCAGCATCAGGGAATTACAAATCAAAATGAGATACCAGCTCACACAGGTCAGAATGGCTAAAATTAACAACACGGAAACAACAGATGTTGGCGAGGATGAGGAGAAAGGGGAGCCCTCTCACACTGCGGGTGGGAATGCAGGCTGGTGCAGCCGCTCTGGGAGACAGTGTGGAGGTTCCTCAAGACATTGAAAATAGAGCTGCCCTACAGCCTAGCAATCGCACGGCTCCGTGTTTACCCCACAGATGCAGATGTAGTGATCCGAAGGGGCGCCTGCACCCCAATGTTCACAGCAGCAATGTCCGTCATAGCCAAACTATGGAAAGGGCCCGGATGTCCAGTGACAGGTGAATGGATAAAGACGTGGCGGGTGTGTGTGTGTGTGCGTGTGTGTGCGTGTGTGTGCGTGTGTGTACTACTACTCAGCAATCAGAAAGAATGGAATCGTGCCATCTGCAATGACATGGATGGAGCTGGAGGTATTATGCTGAGCGAAATAGAGAGACGATTGTGTGCCTTCACTCATGTGGAATTTAAGAAACAAAGGAGAGGATCATAGGGGAGGGAGGGAGAAACACAACAAGGTGAAGTCAGAGAGAGAGAGACAAACCATGAGAGACTTCCTACCAGAGGAAACAGCCTGAGGGTCGCTGGAGGGGAGGGGAGCCTCAAGGGGTATCCGCTGTAGGGGGCCCTGACTAGGGGTGAGGAGAGGAGAGGGGAGGTACAGAGAGGGCTCTGAGTAGGGAGGGGGGGCACCCAGAAGCCAACGGAGAGGGCGCAGGGGGAGGAGGGGGGAGGCACCCGGAAAGCGGATGGGGAGGGCACAGGGGGAGGAGAGGAGAGGCACCACGAGATCTGACGGGGAGGGCGCAGGGGGAGGAGAGGAGAGGCACCCCCAGAGTGGACAGGGAGGGCGCAGGGGCAGGAGGGGAGAGGCACCCGGAAAGCAGACTGGGAGGGCGCAGGGGGGAGAGGGGAGAGGCACCCCCAGAGTGGACGGGGAGGGCGCAGGGGGAGGAGGGGAGAGGCACCCCGAGATCTGACGGGGAGGGCGCAGGGGGAGGAGGGGAGAGGCACCCCAAGAGCCGCGGGGGAGGGCGCAGGGGGAGGAGGGAGAGGCACCCCAAGAGCCGCGGGGGAGGGCGCAGGGGGAGGAGAGGAGAGGCACCCAGGAAGCGGAGGGAGAGGGCGCAGGGGGCAGGAGGGGGGAGGCACCCGGAAAGCGGGCTGGGAGGGCGCAGGGGGGAGAGGGGAGAGGCACCCCGAGAGCCGCCGGGGAGGGGGAGGGCGCAGGGGCGCGCAGGGGGAGGCCGGCCGCGGAGGGCGCGTGGGGCGGCGGGTGCCGAGGCCGCGCGTGACCGCCGCGTGGGTGCCGGGGAGGTGTGCTGCAGGGCGGCGGCGCCGGCGGAGCGGCGGGGGCGGCCCCTGTGCCGCTGGCCCTGCGAGTGCGGCGCGCGGCCCCGCTGCGGCCCCGGGGTGAGCCTGCTGACCGACGGCTGCGGGTGCTGCGAGGTCTGCGCCAGGCAACTCGGCGACGAGTGCAACGAGGCCGACGTGTGCGACCCGCACCGGGGCCTGTACTGCGACTACTCGGCGGACCGGCCGCGGTTCGAGACCGGCGTGTGCGCGTGTGAGTGCGCGGGGCCTGCGGGGGGCGGCCTGGCCGAGCGGGGAGCCCCGGCTCCTGGGTCCTGGGTCCTGGGTCCTGGGTCCTGGGCGGGACCAGCGGATTCTGCAGACACTCGGCTCTGCGACTCGGTCCCACGTCGGATGCAGCCGAATCCAGCCTTCCTGCCCCTAAAAACTAACCGCGCTTCGGGCGTCAGGGTGGGTAGGTCGCCGCGCGCACCGCTTTACCCTCAGCCTTTCCAAATAACCCGCAGGCCATCGTGGTCTGTTTTTTAGAGATTATTTACTTATTCATTCATGAAATTCACAGAGAGAGAGAGAGAGAGAGAGAGGCAGAGACCCAGGCAGAGGGAGAAGCAGGCTCCATGCAGGGAGCCCGACGTGGGACTCGATCCCGGGTCTCCAGGATCAGGCCCTGGGCCAGAAGGCGGCACTAAATCGCTGAGCCACCCAGGGATCCCCACCGTAGGTTTTTTTAAAAATTTATTTTAAAAATTTCCCCCCATCTAGTTTCTAGCTGAGGCAGACGGGTGAAGAGGAAGGCCAGGGGGACCCCCAATCACACCCCGACCCCCAGCTTTAGGGGCTCTAGCTCTGGAGACTGCTTAAGACCACGTCAATCTATCCCTTGACAGCAATTCAGGATCCCGATTTACCTAGGATTAAAATTTTTTCTTTTCTTTCTTTCTTTTTTCTTTTCTAAAGATTTTCTTGGGATGCCTGGGTGGCTCAGCAGTTGAGTGGCTGCCTTCGGCCCAGAGCATGATCCTGGGGTCCCAGGATCGAGTCCCACGTCGTGCTTCCCACGTCGTGCTCCTGCATGGAGCCTGCTTCTCCCTCTGCCTGTGTCTCTGCCTCTCTGTGTGTGTCTCATGAATAAATAAATAAAATCTTAAAAAAATAATAAGCGAGCGAGAGCAGGGGCAGGGGCAGAGGGAGGGGGGTCGCGGCCTCCTCCCTGGGCCAGGAGCCCTCGTGGGCCCCATCCCGGGACCCCGGGATCATGACCTGAGCCGCAGGAGGATGCTTACCCCACTGAGCTACCCAGGCGCCCTCCAGATTAAGATTCCTGGGGAAGAGCAAGCCCCAGGTCAGCGGCTGTTAGGGCCAGTGCGGGAAAGGCCCAGGGGCAGGAGGCGCCTGCGGGACGGAGCAGGGGCAGGGGCAACCCGCGGTGCTAGGCTGTGCGGTTCCCAATGTGGGCGCCAGGCTCGGGCGAGTGATCACACCCTGGGCTGAAGGCGGTGCTAAACTGGTGGGCCACCACCTCTATTGGAATTTAATGCATTTAAATGGATTATTTTATTTATTTATTTATTTATTTATTTATTTATTTATTTATTTATTTATTTATTTTTAACGATAGTCATACAGAGAGAGAGAGAGAGAGAGAGAGGCAGAGACACAGGCAGAGGGAGAAGCAGGCTCCATGCATCGGGAACCTGACGTGGGATTCGATCCCGGGTCTCCAGGATCGCGCCCTGGGCCAAAGGCAGGCGCCAAACCGCTGCGCCACCCAGGGATCCCTATTTTATTTATTTTTAAGATTTTATTTATTCGTTCATGAGAGACACTCATGGAGAGAGAGAGGCAGAGGGAGAAGCAGGCTCCATGCAGGGAGCCCGACGTGGGACTCGATCCAGGGTCTCCAGGATCAGGCCCTGAGCCAAAGGCGACGCTAAACCGCTGAGCCACCCGGGCTGCCCTAAATGGATTAGAAATTTAAAAATACTTAACTAATTCATTTAAAAAGAGGAAACCCGTTGCAACTTGACGGGAATATATATATTTATGAAAAATACTTTATTTTCTAAAAGGCAGAAAAATTTAGTGAGAAGGATGGAACTGTCTTACATTTTTGCCCCTTTCTCCAATGTCCGGCTTAAATGGGAGATCGATAGATTTCTGCTTTCTGTCTATTCCTGTGTGTTCTTTTGGTTGAAATATATGAAGGGAACGCAGCCTCACACAGATGGGGTCCTTGGAAAAGGCAGGAATATTTTAACAGAGTTTTCAGATAATTGTGAATATTCCTTTTGATATTATATTAGAACCTGAGAAGTGGTAGTGTCTTGGAAATTAGCTGCATCGTGGAGTCCGAAACCATGTCCGTGAACGTGCCAAGCTCCCACTTGGAGTGTGTCTTTTACTCAGAAGTGATTTTCTTTTTTTTTTTTTTAAGATTTTATTTATTTATTCATGAGAGACAGAGAGAGAAAGAGGTAGAGACACAGGCGGAGGGAGAAGCAGGCGCCACGCAGGGAGCCCGACATGGGACTCGATCCCGGGAATCTGGGATCACGACCTGAGCTGAAGGCAGACGCTCAACCGTTGAGCCCCCTGGGCGTCCCTCAGACGTGATGTCTGGTACCATGCAGTGGTTATTTGGAAAGTGCTGGTTTGGAACAGTGGTCATGTAGCTGTTCCAAATACCCATACACTTAATCATGTAATATTTTTAACAAATCCTGCGAGTTGATGCTGACCTCGTGGGAAGCTCTGCACGTCGGCAGCTGCGGAGACCGCCGCGGCGGATGCAGGTTTCCCGGGATGCTGGTTTTTGCTCGTAAGCCTGCCTCCGTCCTGTCACGGGCCACTTCTCTTTTCCTTGAAGTGACACAGGCTCACTGTTGGTTTTCAAGGAAATGTCTGCTGAAACCCGAGTGATCATGGTTTACCCGTGAGTCATTTCTGTAGGTGGAATTCCTACTAAAGAAGTGGTCGGTTCAGCCCCAAACTCCAACAATGGGAGAGGCGCTTCTCCTCAAGATGCTATCGTGTCTGCAAAACTGCTCTGCGCCTACCTCCTGTGTCCCGCAGGAGATTAAAAAGACATATATTTGATGATTAGGATTTATTTTTATTTTTTAAATTTTAAATTTTTTTTTTTTTTGATGATTAGGATTTAACAGTGATTTTTGCTGTGCTGTCAGGACAGTATTGAGTAAAGTTAGCTTTTTTTTTTTTTTTTCCAAAAAGTACATTTCTGGACAAGTAGCAGCAGCAAGGCCAGACTACGGAGACCACCCTGTCCAGTCTGGTGGATCCTAAGCTTCCAGCTGCAGCTCCCGCCCCCGTTACAAACACCAACACGGGGTAAAAAGCCGGGCACAGCTTAGTATTTTGAGCAAAGGCTTTGACCTTGCAGATCCTCTGGAAGGGCCTCAGTATTGCCAAGAGGTCCGAGGGGTCACAGTCTCTGAGGACCGCTACTCCGGGTCACAAATGCCTGTCGGAGGAGTGAGCACCCCTTCCAGTTGTCCCGGTGGCGGCGGCATTAGGTACCGTGCAGCCCCGCAGCTTAACCGATGCTGGCTTCTTCCGCCCTCACGCAGCTCATTTCCTACGTCCCTGCTATTGTTGGATTCCTGGGAACACCTCTGACCAGCCGTGTGACTTGCAGTCACCGTGCCCCCCGCCATCCTCGCCGTGATCCGGAACGGGGCCGGTGCCTGGTCACTTCTGAGGGACCAACCGGGGCGGAGGGCCTACAATGAAAATGTCTCATTTTCACCTTGTGGCTCATGTTCTGAGAAGGAGGCTCCGGCCGGGAGCCTAAGTGACTGAGGACGCTGCTCTGCGAGGTTCCCCCTGGGGAGGCCTGGGCTAACAGGGGTGGCTTCCTCGGTGACCTTGCGCTTCTGTCTTTTCAGACCTTGTCGCTGTGGGGTGCGAGTTCAACAGGGTACATTATCATAATGGCCAGGTCTTTCAGCCCAGCCCCCTGGTTAGCTGCCTCTGCGTGAGCGGGGCCATCGGGTGCACACCTCTGCTCCTTCCGACACCAGCCGACAGTGGCTGCTCTGGGGCTCGAGACAGAAAGAAGCCCGATGGACTCGACTGTGGCCGGGGGCCGTCCGGACAGCAGCTTTCAACAAGCTACAGAACAAGGCCGGGTGCGTAGACGCGTGTCTGTTGGCTCATGTGTGGCTTCTCGGGGTCTTGTCTCATGTTCCTTTGATGAACCAGAGGTTCCCAGGAGGTACTGATCAGCGGCCAGTGTAAGATTTGGTCTGGCTGTGCCATCTCTCAGTCTCATAATGTTTAGAGTTTTCCAGTAGAACATTCCAGTGCTTCAAAGCGCTGCTCGGTCAGAGGAAACTCTTCTAGGCCTCTGCTCCTTCCCACGCAACCCCTTCTCAGGAAAACAGACCAAACATGGTTCCCAGGCACCGTGAGGAGAACTTGCACTCGTATCCATGTGTTACGAGCCAGAAGGGAGAACCATCCAGTCTCCAAAATTTTCCAAGGCAGCTTTGCTACAGGATGAAGGCAGAGCTGGAAGGCTGCTGGTTAAAAATATTTGAGGATATGCTTAGAATGTGTGAACGTCGTTTCTAAAAACAGAAAACTGCTGACATGACATTATCATTTCATTTGCTCGGAGACAGAGCGAGTAGATAGTAGAGCTCTGAGCTCTGTCCGCAGTCACCAGCCTCTCTCTACAGAGACACAGGTGCGGGCGTCTCGAAGGAGGCCGCCCAGGTAAGCGGGAGGGAGGCCGACACCCGTGAGGAGACCCGCGTCGCTCGCCGTTTGCAGCGAGCGTCACCGTATTCATAAAGGCTGTGTTCTGGTCAGCTCGAAGCTAACATCTTTTTTTTTTTTTTGCAACAATCTAACTTTTTTTTTTTTTTGAAGCTAACAGCCTATTTAAGTGCCAGGGCATTTTGGGGATGGGAGTTTCAAAAATCCCAACAAATGAAGCACAGATGAGGAAAGACGCAGACGGTTCCGTATTCATGCTCGGTTATTGTTCACGTCTCTGTGTTTTCACTCAGGAATCAAGAAGGCCTTTTTTTTTTTTTTTTTTTTTTGCATCGAAATTTAGAGCTTAGTAAATGAAAGGCGCCGTGGAGATGCATCTACACTGAAAACCCTCAAGTTCACTTCTATTATGTGGATATTTAATAAAAGCAACTATGGTCCGAGAAATTAGTTTTAGGTGTTTGAAAACAAACTCTAGGAAAGGAACATTCTCGGAGACTTCCAATACGCCAGTTAATTTGGGAACAGTTGAACAGGTTGTGGTGAATTTGCACCCAGCACACTTCATTGTTCAGCTAATAGCATGACACTACTCCTGCTCTAAAACCTCCGAGATGATAAGCCAAACTGTTCTTTGTTCGAAAGGTGCAGGAACACTTGATTTTCTGCATTGGATCTGCGGGGCTCAGGGTGAGGTCTTGGGACCCACGCGTGAACCTCGCTGGTGAGAAAATGCCTTAGCCTAGCAGTTTGCACAAGTGAAAGCCCCTTGGATCAGGTTCAGTTGGTCTCCTTTGTGGCGGAAGGCCAGTTCCAGAGGATTCATTTGGAACCTGGTTCGCGGGGGGTGTTAGGTGGCCATTCTTTGTGGCGAGTGCTTTGCTACAAAAAAAAAAAATAAATAAATAAAAATAAAAATAAAAAATAAAAACCTGCCACTGTGCTCTGTGGTCGTAGAGGTCACAGGCCTGGGTGTGTTTCAGAGGACGTGTACGTCTCTCCCCTGCTTAACTGAAACTGTTCATGGGCCCAAGCAGAGGGGTGGTTTTTCGAATCAAGCACAATGACACACACACACTTTAAGGTATATTTGTGACAGTAACTTACACGCTTCCTTAGCGCCAGGCAGCCCGTGGTTGGGGTTGGATCCAGCCTCTGTCGGCTCAGTATGAAGCACGCAGTGATGTGATGCCCCCATGCTTTTCTTCCCTGCTCACCAAATGCTAAATAACCTCTTAACTTTAGAAGCTCTTCTAGTTTTCTTGCTTTTTAATGGATGTTAACTTCCTGAACTGCAGCTCTTAGCTTAACTTTAAGGGGGTTGTTGGTAAGATGATCATCTAACCTGCCTTTATTTATTGCACATGCGTGCTGGGCTTTTAATCTGCTTCCTGCATTGAGGTCTTTAAACTGTTGTTCTACCTTTCCAGGTATCTTCACGTTTCTGCTTCCTCTCCCTCAGCTGCTTGTGCAATCGCAAGATCCAACTGCAATAACACTGAGAGCTGCAAAGTATCATTTTATTCAGAGACGGCAGATGCTGGCAGATGCTTCAAAGCGGCTGATGTTTCCCATCAGGAAGGCAGTTGACGGGGGCCTGGGTGGGTGGGAGGGGGCAGGAGGAGGGTGTCTTTTCAGAGTTTTATTTACTTATTTATTTAAAAGATTTTACTTATTTATTCATGAGAGACAGAGAGGGGCAGAGACACAGGCAGAGGGAGAAGCAGGCTCCCTCTGGGGAGCCCGATGTGGGATTCCATCCATGGACCCAGGGATCATGACCTGAGCCAAAGGCAGACGCTCAAGCATTGAGCCACCCAGGTGCCCCCTTTTCAGAGTTTTAAACTGGCATTTTGAAGTAACGTAGCCAGAATGCTGCTATGTCCAACTGCAGACTCAGACTTATTCCAGGCATCCATTGGGATGCATATTAACCTTAGGAAATGCTTTGAGACAATGAACCCATGTGTAGTTTGTTTAAAATGAACTTAAAATGGCTAAATTCATTCATGAGCAGAAGAAGCTCCCAATGGATTTCTAAGAAGATGGAAGAGTTATTTTGCACCGCACCACATTGTATTTTCGTCATTCATCCCCTTGCCCTCCCTTCTGCTAAGCAGGAATCAGTGGGGGGGGGGGGGCTCCATCTAACCACCAGCTTACCCACCCCTCACCCCCCATAAATCTATCCATCTTTTCTTTTGGCTTGTCTTTTTCTAGAGCTGATTTGAAATGGCTAGTCCATGGAAGGAATACCATGGGTCTGATACCATAGGGAATGTAGCAATTAAGTTGAATAAATAAAATAGATTACACATTTGCCATGACTTAGTCTATGGCTATTCTGATTACTTCAGTGTAATGCAGAGAATTTTCTAAAAGACTAGATTGATAGGCACCTGGGTGGCTCAGTGGTTGAGAGTCTACCTTTTGCTCAGGGCGTGACCCCGGGGTCCTGGGATCAAGTCCTGCATCGGGCTCCCTACAGGGAGCCTGTTCCTCCCTCTGCCTGTCTCTGCCTCTTTGTGTTTCTCATGAATAAATAAAATCTTTAAAAAAAAAAAAGACTAGATTAAAACAAGTGGAGGAAAAATAACTGGGCTCAATAGGTTCTTCTTGAATAGAACTTTATTTTAGGTTTTAACATACTACGAAATTTAACATTAAGACATTGTTCTGATTAATATCTTGAATTCCTTAATCCTACTAGTGTCTATTTCATTGTTGAAAATAATATCCAGCAAGATGCGAGAATGAGAGAAAATGCAGTAGTTTAATACTTGGTGAGCTAAAGCCGAAGCAAGTGGGTGCATCTACTCAGATTTTCAAAGATAAAGATTTTTCTTCTTCCTAAGAAATTGGACTATAACATTTGCTTGAAAGGTAATTTGGAAAGTGGGAAGAGGAGAGAACGAGTTAGACCAGAAGCTTATTCTGAATTACATTACATAAAAGGTTCTGATCTATTAACTATTAGCTGAAAAATATTAAAAGTTGTCTATGTATTTAGATACACATCTACTCCACCCCCCTTTATTTTAGCTTATAGGAACCTCCCGCTTATTTGGAAAGGAAAATGTCTTGTGCAAGCAACAAAGTGGACTCCTTGCTCCAGAACGTGTGGGATGGGAATATCTGATCGGGTCACCAATGAAAATAGCAACTGTGAAATGAGAAGAGAGAGAAGACTGTGTTATATTCAACCTTGTGACAGTAATATATTAAAGAGAGTAAAGGTGAAACTTAAATCTGATGTAACTTCATTATAATTCAATATTAAAAAGAGTCCTAAAAAGTGCAAGTGTGTTTCAGGGGAGAGATTGGGTGTGACTCTTATAAAAATAAAATCGCCTCCGGGTAACTCTTAAAGTCAAATGATCTCGGAGGAGAACAAAGATTAATCTAATTGCACTTCATGGGGAAAATCCTACCCAGCGAAGGGGTAATGTTAACCTGTTGATTCTACTCTAACAGCTTAACAGTGTGGGTCTTGGCCAGCCTGGTTTGCTGTGGTACACCCACCATGTACGTCTTTTTAAAGTAGATCCTTTTTGGATTCCAATTTTTTAGAATATATTAATTTTATGTGGTGGAGTCAAGGCAATGGATAACAGATTTTGGTTGCTGCATCGTAATTATTGAAACAGACCTTACGAACATCAGAGAAGTTCTGATCTTGGTTATGGATCACCAAGTTGGAGGGGGAACCCACCACTTCCAAAATGCTCTGTGCTTAGATAGTAAACTTGCCAAAGGACTATGATAACATATTCACACTAGAATTGTTTGGTATAATTCGAGCTGGTCCTCCTTCTAGGGCAAGGCAAGATGACGGTCTCAAGAGTAAGTCTAAGGAATGCTAAAACTCATCTCCAGGTTATTCCCGATCATAGTAAGAAGCTGACAACTCAATTTTAAAGGAATTAAGATAGGTATTCATTTATTCATCCACTCAAAACCGCCTATGTTAGGGAATTTGCTGTCTTAGGTAAATAAACATTTAATAAGACATGGCCTTTGATATTAAAGATGACAGAAAAGTTCTCACTGTAGAAATTGTGGAACAAAGTGAAGGGTGGACAGCAAAAAAAATTGGGGAGCGGCTCCTACATTATGATGGGACAGGAACAGGGGGGCACAGACCCCTGGCGGGGGGATTTCAAAGGTAGGAGAGTGCGGAAAGTCACTGCCCGCGTTTGTGTTTCCATATATAGTACTACTTTTTCTAAACTGTTGTATTCGGATTAAAGAATGACTTAATGTTATGTGCCTTTTCAGATCCCGAAAGGAAAAACGTGCCAACCTACTTTCCAACTCTTCAAAGCTGAGAAATTCATCTTTTCTGGATGCTCAAGCACTCAGAGTTATAAACCCACATTTTGTGGAGTATGTGTAGATAAGAGATGCTGTGTTCCTAATAAGTCGAAAATGATCACCATTCAATTTGATTGCCCAAATGAAGGCTCATTTACATGGAAGATGCTGTGGATTACATCTTGTGTATGTCAAAGAAACTGCAGAGATCCAGGAGATATATTTTCTGAGCTCGAGATCCTATAAAACCTAGTATATATGGGAAAAGTTAGGTTCAGGTGATTATGTCATTACCTAAGAAAACTGGAATGGTTTCAAAAGGGTGGCAAATCTACCTTATTGGTTTAAAACAGTAAGAATGCCTACCTATTCTCAGATGACTATCTTTAAGGCATTAGAAGCTATTAAAAAGGTTCTTTTAAAAATATATGTAAAACTTGGTGCAGCTCTTTCTGCTTATGGGTCCTGTCCCGGTGCTTTAATAAAACCACCTTTTTTTGCATCCCCCCCAAATTTATTTATTTATTTTTATATATATATATATATATGCTAAAACTGTATGTGTATATATATAAATTTATATAATGTTAAAAATCTTAAAAGTAAACTTACTTTAAAATGTGTAATTATGAAATACACAGTTGCTTTCATCTACATACATACATATTCCATACATAATGGAAAAGCTATTCAATTTCCAAGAAAGCATTTTACTCTATAATCTAGAATACTTTGTTGAAGATGTGTAAAAAGTTTAGAACTTTTTCAGAACTTCTTTAAAACTTTATCTGTACTTTGACAATGAAGCCTAGGATTCCATCAGATGATAATCATTACATGGTGTGTAAGATTCTAGGTTTAATTCTTAAATAGGACAACGATTAAGCTGTCAATGTACTTATAACTTCCATTGCCCTAGTCCGAGTATCAGGTTTATTAAGATTTCTTTTGGAAGGAGAAAACAGAACTTCTTTGGCCATTGGTGACCACTGTAATCTAAAAGTTTTTATACCAAATACTGTAAAATATTACATTTCCAAGATAAAGATCAAGAGCAGTATCCTTACTTTGAAAAGTAAAAAAACTTAAAAACTTAACACTGAAGGAAGCACAGATGATTTCGCTTGAAAATAAACTGTCCCTAAAAATTACTTCCTTAAATGATAACTCCACCTATGGATTTAAAATATAAATTGTATTTAAGGATAAGTTAACATTAAAACTGCAACTGGAAATTACAATAACTGCAACACTGTCACTGGACTATTATAGTCATTTTCCTGCAAAGTTTGGAAGAAGATGTCAAGCTAAGTAATGTTCTGTTTGCTTATATAAATGGTGACAAACAAAACCAATTATCAAGCGGTATTGTTTAAAAATATAGACATTTATTATTAAGAAATCAACTGGTTTAATAAAAACATTATATTTAAAGATAATTTAATACATATTCATGTTAAAATAAATGTCAATTTTGATTCTTTTGAGTACAAACAAGTGGTTACCCAAAGGAGAAACAAAATCTCCTTCATACTATAATAAAACCTATCCTTGTAAAGTTGGTATTACATAGAAGTATTTATATTGTGTTCTGCTATTCCTCATACTTGCTTTTAAAGAATCAGGAGAATTTAAACGATATAAAAAAATAAATTATAAATAAATATAAAAATATACCCGTATATGATTTTTTAAAAAGACATGAATTATCACTTTATAAATGCCTAAATATGAGATTATAAATAAAAATGTTGAAGAACTCTCTTTTCCCAATTTTAGAAAAGGCGAATTTTCTGAAGACAAATGTTTGAAGTTAAGGTAATAGGACTTCACTAATTTCACAGGCTGGTATTACCCACAAATTGTGATGAAGTGAAAACCACTTTTTTTTTTCTTTTTCTTTTTCTTTTTTTTAGACAAAAATACTTTCTAATAGGAAAAAGTGCAAAGTGGGTTTTCTGAATCACAAACATTCCAAAACAGAAAGAAAAGGTGATGAAAACCAATGTAAAATTAAGAAAAGTAAAAATTGTATTTTGGGGGTATTTTTTACATAGCTATGCTTAGTCTAGGTAAATCTTCCACAGGCATGCTTTTTGTGGCATCCAGTTGGTTGTATTCCTCTATGAGCCTTGATAAAGATGACACCGCTTCCATGAAACAGCTTTCTTCCATCCCTTCAATTTGTAGATAGTGATGAAGATGAGCCTATAAATAGTAAACTGGATACTGTTGACTATTTTCAGAAAATTGAAAAAAAAAAACCTCCTAAAACATAAGTAATTCTTCATTAAAATGATAGTTCACTCAGCTTTACAAGAGAAATGAGAACTCAAATCCTGTGAACTCACGAGATCTCTCGTTTAGATAGTCTGAGTGCACCTCTCCTCTTCAGCTATAATCAGTACGATGACCACAGCAGTCAGGATTGCCCCTGACTCGTAATGGTGTAATTCGCAAGAAGACATCTTAAATAGCCAAAACAATCACACATAGTTATGAAGGTGTCCTGACAATTACCTTTTTCTTGTAGAGCCTCGTGAATCTGTCTCTCAGTTCCATGAAGGTGGGCTTCACGCATGTGTTATTTGCTAGAGCTAATAACGAATGGGAATGGCCCACAGGCGGTACTGAGCACAGGCTGGTTTTCCAGCCTTCTTGATTCCAGGAGATGAACTGGAGAGAAGGTTTCAATCTGAGATGCAAAAGCTCAAAGGTGAGAATGAAGGTACTGAAAATTCTGCCATATATGGCAGCGGGCATTACTGAAGGCACCATTCTCTTTGCTCAGTATTTAATGTAAGCTATCTCTGTTTTACTTTTAGCAGTAACATGGTAGAGCCCGCCAGTGAGCTAAGGGACATTTACTTGGGAGGACGTTAAATCTGGGGATGAAAATACTACATTTTTCCTTGTTTTGTGAGTCAGTAGAGTTTTCCTAAAAATACTGTCAAAAAATAGTAAAACATAAACTTAGAGGCAGTGTAGTGTGGTAATAATGAAACCAATAAGTTTTCTGAACACCTTCAGAGGATAAAACATATCCTATATCATTCACTATTCATAAACGACAATTTTGTGCCATTATTATTATTTTATGTTTGAGAAAAACAAGGCTTAAACGAGGCTAAGTAGTTTGCTCAAGGTCACACCTTAGTTAAGTGGCAATGCTAGAATCTGAAGAGAGGCCATCTGAACTACTATGCTGCACTGTCACAAGTAGTACACACAAATCATCATGGAAATATAAAATCAAACCTTTCAATATTTCTGCGAAGATCTGAAACCTGTACGTTTCCTCTCACCATAAGGGCACAGGCGAGGTAGAGACTGTGTTTGGGGTCAGCCCGAATTAGCTGGTGATCTTTACTAAAGGCATCTGAGAACATCTGGTCCAACCTAGAACAATGAGAGAATCACTGTTTATACAAAATATTATTTCTTCTCTGTAGAACTACAAATTGCGAAGACAGTCACCTTCTGGTCAATAAATCTCACACACAAACACATTCTACGTTTCAGCTATCATTTTCTCAGAACACAATCTTGAGAAATACAAGAGAGGAGGACATCATTTATCCTTTATTTAAAGAGGGGAAGAAAAAGGTGCCAACAAGTTTGTATCTAACAATATACAGCATCCTAGTCTTTAGCTCCAGCCTGGTTCTTAAATCTCACTTAACTTAATATAAATATGATTAGGTTCCCTAGATCACTCTAGATTCTGTGTGCTGGATCTGCAGAATGATTGGGAAGAGCTGCAGAAATCACACTGTAATACTTACTCATTCAACAGATATTTACTAAATGCCTACTGTGTGCCAGGCACTAGTCTAAGCGCAAGAGACCAAGCAGTGAACAATTTCTACTCAAATGGAAAACTAATTCTACTCTAATGGAACTTACCTTCTATTTTGGTTATGTGACAGCAAGAATAGAAGACTCCTTTAGGGAAAGTGAGCTGTGGGGGGATTCATAAATCCTCTGCTACGGTGTTCAAGATTTTGTTGTGTATGTACTTTTGGGGATTTTTACAGAGATAAGGAAACCCAGAAAAGCTTAAGAATTACTGTACAACAAGTGGCAAACTCATTCTTGATGCATCCTCTGCCACAAAACGTAAGAACTAGGAGCTATTCGTCATTTTGGCATACTTATATTCATTTATAGAAAAATATGGAATTTCAAGAAACAAATATACACACTTCATATGTGATTATTTTCATGTGATAAAAATGGGACGAGGTACAGGACTGACATTTATTAATAAAGGTACCCCCAAGACATTCTCACTACTAAGAAATTAAAGTGTTTTAAAACTACGACTTCTAATAGAAAAATTTTAAAACAATTTATTATCTTACTCGAGGATAAACGTGTTCATGTGCTAATACGGCAGCCTCTGAAATATCTATAGTACAGCAGAAAAAGGGCAAAAAGGAACACAAAGATAGAACACTGTGACAAGTTCCCTAAGTGCTAAAATCTTTAAAGTCCCTTATACATTTTCACACGTTTTGATTAAAAATAAACCTTTGTAACAATTATGATTATATGAATAAAAAATGTTGCAACAGTATATTTTTTTTATCAAAATATGCCAAAAGCAGGATTAAAAGAAGTTTAATTGGCTTTAAAACATTCAGGCTGAATGACCAAGTCAAACATTGTTTGCTTTATGTAGAACTTAACTAGAAATTCCATGTCTTTATTTTTTAAGAATTAACTTTAAATGTAAAAATGTCTGGATTATCACTCTAGTACAATAAATAGTTTAGCACCAATTTACATGTGTGTCCATATTAAAGATGCATATTTTATTTAAATACACTAATTTTTAATATGCAGGGCTGATAATAAGAGTGAACATTTAGTGAGTGGGTACCATGTTCCATACACAATGCAAGCTGCTTAACTCAAGGTCATCGGCATCCCATGAAGGAAGAATCTCATCTATTAGTTGGCATAACTGGTTACTTGTTAGCAGCTGAAATCAAAGTTAATCAATAGCACGGTGACATTTACAGTGCAGAACTGTTATTTTGCCCAAACTTAAACTATAAAGAAGATCTTTAATCTAGTTTCTACTTTATCATTTACATACTTTGCTCTTACAGAGTTTGACAGGACCTTTTCCCTCTGTCAACTGTGGATGTCAGTGGGACCTTTTTCAAGCTCGTCCTCACTGTCTGTGCTCAGAATATTTTTCAACTACATTTTTTTGTTAACTAGACTGATTGAAGTTTTATGCATATAAGTGGCACACAGTTACAAAACAAGGTGCTCTGGAAATGATATATAGCAGCTACCACGAACAACCACACTGGAAAAGCCTTCTGTGGTGCTGGACCAAGATAAGAACTTTAAAGATACTCTTACTTAATATACTCAACAAGCCTACGAGGTAGGTGCACTGATTCTCATTTC